CAGCAGCAGCAGCAGCAGCAGCAGCAGCAGCGTGGCGCCGAGCCGAGATAGCTGCAAACAGACGCGAGTTAATTTAAAAATGCAAATTCCACCACGGGTCTCTCGCCGCTCCGAGGGCGGACACGGCTCCGGGGGAGGAGAAAAAAAGAGAGCGCGAGAGACCGAGAGAGGAGAAGAAAGAGAGGCGGAGAGGGTGGGCGGGGAGGGGTGCGGGAGAGGGGAGGAAAAAAGCGCAGCGCGAGAGAACACGGCGAGTAACGCGCTGAGAGAAAGGGAATTTTGCTATTTACGGCTGCGCCATAAATCATAGCGTTGTGAATGTCTGTCTGATTCGCGGCGCTGCGTGTGAGCTTTTTATTTATACGTCGTCCAATTTGAGCAAGTCCGATTGCGAGATAGCGCGCTGCTCCTCCGCCGAAAAATTCGACGGGGACAGTCCGCGGTGGAAGTGCGGTAAACCGGCGACGTGTTTGTATGAATGAGTAAGAGGAAAAACGCCCGAGTACCGCGCTCTGGCGCTTCCATGATTAATATTTGCGCAAGTATAATTTAAACAAAATCCTCTATATCTGGAAAGATATCCGATTTGTCCGTGTGTGCGTTTGTGTGTGTGTTTGAGTGGAAGCGCAATATCGACGGACGGCTTGTTTTTGTCGAAGCAGAGTATCGATTTCGATAAAGCCACGCAAAAAAAAAAAAAGATCGGCCAGGCCAAAACACGTGGATATCTGCGTTGCCGCGGCGGTGATAAAAATTCGCGCGCACACTAATTGCCGGTATGACGAATGCACCGGTTGACCCAGTGACACGTACGCGCCGGATTCCGCGAACCGATTACCGGCTGCCGTCCCGCGTCCGACCGACGCGATCATAAAAAATTCCATGCATTCGCGAGTAAGCTGCAACACGCCGGTATATAGCCAGCGAAGCCAACGGGTGTCCACTCGAAATTACGCACGCGATCCCCGGACCCTGCCATGAATCTTTCTCTCGCGTAGCACGCGGGAGCGATCTCGGTTAATTAAATTTAATCGGAACCGCGGCGCGGGCAGAAACGAAAATCGGGCGATCGGACGTCGAATATTCAGGAGCCATTAGCCTCAAACGCGCGAGTCCGAAATCGCGGGACAAGTGTCAAGGTGGTTTAATGCCGCGGATGTTTATCTGTTCGGAAATCGAGTTTGAAGACCTGATCGCGCCGGGGAATCACGCCCGTTCGAGATCTATCGTCACAATGGATGGTTTCGAGTGGAAAGGTAAATATCACGAAACCGATAAGTCTAAGTTGGAAACACAGCTTGTGCGGCCGTTCGTGCGACGTCAGTCTCAAAGTTGAAATACAGAGGGAGAGAGCATTGTCTTTACGGTTCTGCCGTGCTTCGACGGTCGGAGATTCGCCGACACGAGACGCATTAGTCGAACGTCTCCGCGTCGCGGCGTAAAGCCCCGCAATGTCCGTCAACCACGAGCATCCCCCGCACAGTCGACGGTATCGAATCGTATATACCGATCCACACGGAATCCCAATTTCCCGACGTCTCTCGTTCCGGCGCGTTCCTCCGGGACCGGCGACGACGACGACGGCGGTGGCGATGACGGTGACACTGAGAGCCACTGGGTGCAATCTTGTACCAGCTGGGGTTTGCGGGGTCTTGGGAGACGCGACTCCGGCTCGTAACCTTCTCTCTCAGGGTCCTAGCCACGACGACGACGACGACGACGACGACGACGTCGGTGGAGTGAGGAATAGGGAAACAGGCACCACAGGCAGGCAGGCAGGCGGACGGGGGTGGTTGGTTGGTCGACGTAGGGTGAGAGCGCACGAGTGGCAGCGGCAGTAAGGGGTGTGAGACGGTGTGGAAAAGGGAAGAGGAGAGAAGAAGCTGGAGAGAGAGAGAGAGAGAGAGAGAGAGACAGGACGGTGGGTGGTCGGTCGGTGGCTTGGGATATATCCGTAAGGTTAGGGTGGTTGAGTCGAGACGAGGCGCCGCGGCGAAGGAGTCGCTCACTCACTTACCACCCTCATGGCTGCGACCGCCAACCCCAATACCATGCACACGGCCAAAGCCGTCTCCCCCCCTCCTCCCCCCGACCGTCTCCCGCTCTCACGTCTCTCACCCTTGAAAGAGCCACCCCTGACTGTACTTCGGTGCCTGCTGCTGCTTGCCAAGTTGCTTGCCTGCCTGCCTGCTTGCTTGCGGACCAAGTCGTCCCTAACACTACAAAGTCTATATATCTACGGTATACCCGCAGCTCCTCCTACATTCCGCCGCCTCCTCCTCTATCTCTTCGTCTTCCCCTGAGGTACCAACCCCCATATTGATCGTGGCACGAATCCTCTTTGTGGGAGAGGGTGGTATGGATAGCCGACGGGATAGGTGTAAGTAAACTTACGTGAATGGAAGGCGGGCCGCGTGTATATCGTTTCTTCGCGGAGGTATCTATACACACACACACACACACACACACACACACACACACACACATGCGTACGTACATATATATATGTATGCGTTGCACATATACCGGCGCAACGCGAGCAGGCAACGGGAAAGCAAGGGGGAACAGAAACGGAAAGCTCTCGCGAAACGACATTGCGAGCTATCGGCGTCTCGCGACGACGGGGGTGGGAGAGAAAGGATGCGCTTACCCCCCCGAAAGACGAGACTTCCGGGTACATACTTACTACTAGCGGTATCGACTGCGGACAAGAGTTGGTGTGTGTTTCCGCATGATTTTCCAGGGAACTAAATCCAGTCGCGCGATTTCCTCGTAGAATCGTTTTACCATAGTTGTTATATTCTATTCAGGAGTATATAACAACAACATTTACTCTAATTTAATAATAATGCCATACACACTAATAATTATCAAATTAAATGTATTTTGTAACGCCCATAAATATTTTTTAAAACAGTGTTTTCTTAATCGAAAATTATCGCGCGTTCGCGATAATTTAGATATGCGAGATGATGCAATGATAAAAACCTTGTCGAGAACGTGCAGTGTAAAATGTTGTTTTTTTTTTCCCACCAGTGATAACGTTTGCCTAGAAATCGTAAGATTTTAAGTCATTATGGCGCGCCTTATTTTCTCGCGAACGCGTGTCAAACGCTGTTTTCTCGCCAGATTCTCCTTTCGACGCGGACAGTCGTCTCATCCGCTTCAGTGGGCTCTGGTCGGATAAGCAGTGACCGACCGTTTCCGGATAACGAGAGGACGTCTTTTCGGAGGAGAAAGATATCCCTCCTTTCTCTGTACCACCGGGATTCTTTCGCGAAGAAAACTCGAAAGAGAGAGGCACGTAATACGGCTCCCGGGGGGATCCTTTTCTTGCCGGGAATCTTTCATGACGTGAGCGGAGCGCGTGTTTGCGAGACTTTCCGCCCCCGTTCCCCGCTCATCCTCCCCTCCTGGCTTTTGTCTTCGCTTTTCCGTCGCTATATCGTCGTCGCGAACGAGAGAACACGTTGCCGCTCGATTTTTCCGCGTCGCGGGGTTTCATACCCGGTTCTCGCCGACTCCTTTCGCTCTCCCGAGCGATTTCTCGTCGGTGTCTGACAAGACACGCGGGCCGCGATACCTCTTATCCTCCGAGCGGCATGTAATTTCGTACGTTAATCGCCCGGAGATACCCCGGGCGAGCGTATCCGTGCATGTATGTATGTATGTGTTTATATATATATATATATATCTCAAGATCCCCATTTTTTCTTTTATATATTTCCTTTTACCCGAAGCGTTTCGGTCGACAGGCGGGGAGAGGATGATACCGAGGCGTCGAAGTAATGGACCGAGAGAGCCCGGCGTCGCAGTAGTAGGATGAGGGACGAAGGGTAATTGAGAGAAGAGGAGATTTACTTCGACACCGGCGACGAGCGGCGGGGCTTGCGAGGGGATGCGATGCAGGGTGGTTTACGGGTTTGCAAAGATGGGGCGCGTAGTTATCGGGAGAGGACACGGGGAAAGGGCTGCCAAGTTTATATATGTGCCAAAGGCATGCGAACGGTGTCGCGATGCTGTGTCGGACGTATCGACGACGAAACTACCGCTCGTAAAGCTTCCGGTCGATGATACCCCCCTCTCGGGCCCCTCCCACCCGGCGAGCTTGTGCGAGCTTGCATTTTTGCGAGAAACGCGCCTTTTCACGTTTTATGAAGATTGTCAGCGTTGATGATCTTCCTCTCGATTTTACCTGCTTGTGTCGAAGCACATGAAAGAAGACAAGGTCGGAGTAGCGATAAGCAATCTTCGCGTTGTTTATCAATGTCTATTGCGATTCTTATCTCGCGCTTACATTCCCTGTATTAAAACTTAGTCTTTCCCAACTGATTAGATTCCCGGGAAAAGAGTGTGTTTTAATTCGTATAAGCGATTATTGAAGAGGCGCGATAAAATAAGAGCGAAGTCGATAAAACGCCCAGGACATTCAAGTGCTTTCGCATTCGGAAATGCATGCCGATATTTTTCTCGGCACTCGCGCATAATACGATAGAAAAAAAAAGGGCAGAATTCTACGATCCGACCTATTATTCTTCGTTCGCCTCGGAGCGAAATGGAGGTCGTGCGGGCCAGGAGGGATAAGTAATTCCGTCGATGCCTCTTCCACCCGTCCGACGGGAAGGTCGTTTTATTTAATCGCGAAGGAGGAAGGAAGGAATTTAGTCGTTCTACCCTCCATCCGTCGTCCATTCCCCCTCGGTCGCAAGAAGTCCTTCGTTCCCCGATACTTTTCCGTGAAAATCTATCGAGAGGAGGTAGAAATCCGGCGCGGCCCGTAAAAATCTTGAACGAATAAATCCTGTAAATCTCCGTAATCGGATTAACCGCGCTAGACGAGAGAGTGAGAGAGAGAGAGAGAAAGAGAGAGAGAGAGAGAGAGAGCGCGCGGATCGTATCTTTCACGTTGATAAAGAATTCTATAAAAATCGTATAACGACTCCGTTAAAGATTCCGGATCTTGAGCACTGAATGATCTCGATCGTCTTTATTAATTGCAGAGGAACTCGATATCGCCGGCGGAACGGGAGAAGTACAGACCGCGCAGTACACCCGATCCGCAGCACGAACATCTGCTGGGGAAGAAAATGAAGAAGGAGCAGGACAAGGACATAGGCCATGTAAGTATCTAAGAATAGTGCCCCATGCTCCACGATCGGCGATTCGCCTTAATAAAGCCGTGCGTGTTCTCCCCGACAGCAAAGCGATGGTGAAAAGAGCGACCAAGACTTGGTGGTCGACGACGCGAGCGAGGGCCCGACCAGCCCGGCGGCGAACGGCACGACGTCACCGCGAGAGAACGGCCTCGACAAGATGGGCCCGTCCTCGGTGCCTCTGAGCGGCCAGGTGAAGAAGGAGGTACCGCCACCGTCACCTAGAAGCGGCACCAGCAGCAACGCGAGCACGCCCTCGGCCAAGAAGATGGAGGAGCGCGAGAAACCAACGACACCGATCTCGAAGCCGGTCACACCAACGTCGGCGGGTATGTTGTTACTCGAAATAAACGTCACGAGCGTCAAAAGTGATGGAAGTAGGGTGGCAACGTTCAGAAAGTAATCGAGTTTGTACCGGCGATATCGTAGGTAGCAGTTCCGGCTCCGGCGGCCTGAAACCGTCGAGCTCCAGCAAACCGTTGGTCTCGGCCTCGGTGGTCGGCCCTTATCCGCCGCACTATCCGCCACCGCATCATCCGCCCGCGGGACCTCACGTGGACATGCTGGGCTATCCTCCGGGGGCGGCGCTCAACGGTGGTTACCCCACGAGACCACCCCTTCAACAGCTTTACGATCCTCACAGCATGAGAGCACCGCTCGGACCGATCATTCCTCCCGGCGGTAAACCGTGAGTGCTCTTTCCTTTCCTAAAACTCACTGTCGTCTGCTTGCCTCTGCGCGTCAGTTTATCAGCATAACGTTATACGTTTGTCGTCGTAGTATCGTTATACTTTTATGAGATGATGTTTTTCTCGTAGCAGTGCGTACAGTTTCCACGTGTCCAGCGAAGGCCAGATGCAGCCGGTGCCGTTTCCGCAGGACGCGCTCATCGGTCCGGGCATTCCGCGACACGCACGTCAAATAAACACGCTCACTCACGGTGAGGTAGTCTGCGCCGTGACAATCTCGAATCCGACCAAGTACGTCTACACCGGCGGCAAAGGCTGCGTCAAGGTGTGGGACATCAGCCAGGGCGGCAGTGCTAGTGCGAAACCAGTCTCCCAGCTTGATTGCTTGCAACGGGACAACTATATCAGGTCAGTGATAGTAACACGTGTCTTCATTCGCAATTCGTGACACATTAACTCCCGAACGCTATACATACTACGCGGTCGGTGTAATTAATTTCTGACTCTCTGAATTCTGGATGACATTTAGTCGTGTCCGCCGGCTGTATATCACGCCGAAGCAGCGCGCGGCATCGATTTTCACATGCATTTTCCGTATATGCATTTACCACCCTTCCCTCCTCCTCCTCCTCCCTTCCTCCCTCCTTCCCCCGCCGTCCTCGCGTAACCGTAGAACGCGCGCGGACCGTAGTAATTATTTAAAAGCGTGCATAAGTGGCGCGCGGTATTTAACGGAATTAATATATACGCGACGCTCTTGATTGTTGTTATTAGGTCGGTGAAACTGTTACCCGACGGTAGGACATTAATTGTGGGAGGTGAGGCGAGTAATCTCAGCATCTGGGACCTGGCGAGTCCGACACCGAGAATCAAAGCCGAACTGACCTCCTCGGCGCCGGCGTGTTACGCCCTGGCGATCTCGCCGGACTCGAAGGTCTGCTTCAGCTGTTGCAGCGACGGCAACATCGCCGTGTGGGACTTGCAGAATCAGACGTTGGTTCGACAATTCCAAGGTCACACGGACGGCGCCTCGTGTATCGACATCTCCGCCGACGGTTCGAAACTGTGGACAGGTGGTCTCGATAATACCGTCCGCTCCTGGGACCTTAGGGAAGGTCGACAACTGCAGCAGCACGATTTCACGTCGCAGATATTCTCTTTGGGATACTGCCCTACCGGCGAGTGGTTGGCCGTTGGTATGGAGAATTCGAATGTCGAGGTGCTCCATGCCACGAAACCCGACAAGTATCAGTTGCATCTGCACGAATCTTGCGTGCTGTCGTTACGCTTCGCCTCGTGTGGCAAGTGGTTCGTCTCCACCGGCAAGGATAATTTACTTAATGCGTGGCGCACGCCATACGGTGCCTCGATTTTCCAGGTTAGTCGTGATCGCATTATGCAAATCACTCGATTTTCTTTCGACACCAATCGTAAATGGTTTCCTTTCTTCTTTCCAGTCGAAAGAGTCGTCTTCGGTGCTTAGCTGCGATATTTCTACGGACGACAAGTACATCGTGACCGGATCCGGCGACAAGAAAGCCACCGTCTACGAAGTGATGTATTGAGCCTCATATTGGTTTGATCACTTTTTTCGATAGCCAACATCGATCGAAATTTCACAGTGAAATTTGACAGTTAAGTGATTGACTTATGACGGAGGAATTGAAAAAAAAAGAAGAGAATTAATTTTTTTTACTTCCGAAATGTGACTTCAAGGAACTGTGTATCAGCGAATTACGAAGTTTCATAAGAGTTGACAAGACTTGGTCGATGTGCTACGGTCGCTACATTCGACAGAAACCGAATTAAATTTCACATTTCTCTAATCCCATAAATTATACTGGGGGATAGTATATAAATTATGGGGATATAAATATATATAAAGATTGCAGCATTTAGCTGTATAAGATTGTATAGAATCTATAATCGTAAGTAGGATAGTGTGACTGGAATATGAGAGAGAGAGAAAGAGAGAGAATGCGGATACTCTCCGTATGTATTTAACGTGGGAGGCGATAATAAAGTCGCTTGTGTAATATGTTACTTATGTAATATAGAATCTTTATATAATTAGATCTTTTTGCATGTGATGTGTGAAGGAAATTGAGCGACGAATCGAGTTAAGCGCATTTCGTCGGGCGAGGTCGTTCCCTTGCGATAGTGTCGCAGCGACGAAACGAATCGCCACGGCGAAATACCTGAATACGTACGGAATGCTGATCTAGTGTTGTAGACTTGTCAAAGTAGGGATGTATGTTGTGTCGCAGAATTATACATAATATATTGAGCACGTATGTAGACAAGAACGTTTACGTCATGTAGCGGAGAAACTGTAGGGCTATGAAAATCCGATAAGTATCGATCACGCTAAACCAGTGTTTTGAACGTGCGCGACGACGCGTTCGTTCGGTATATCGAAGCCAGCGGATGTGGGGATCTTTGACATTTCTACCACCGACTAAGAGGAATAATTTGTACTTATTACACACTTTCAGTTTTAAATACGATTTCCTTTTGTAATTATATGGCACTGTTGCGTCTGCCGTTAAGACTTTATTGTAATTGAGATTTTATAAAAACGTGTCGCGAGAGGGGGAAGGACGCGGTGATAAAACAAAAAAAAGAGGGTTAAGAAGAAGAAGAGAGGGGCGAAAGATACTTTTCGATCTTTTGCAGTAATTATGAAACTGGCTTTCATACGCCTATTGCGAGCGGTATCGAAATACAAATAGGAAAACTCCGTAAGCCGCGCGACAAACGCGCGCGCGCGCGCGCACCGGATACTTGATACAATGTACATTGTTTGCGAGTTCTTGACTGCCATAATAGGCATATACATACTACGCACACGCATATACACGCGTATAAAAACAAACACGAGCGAGCGGACCACGTTCGTGGGCGGATTTTGCAGAATATTCGATAAAAGTATTTTTGTGACTATTCATCGCGAGACCCTAGGCTTAAACCATCGGAGCGAACCGCGGTCGATGCGTGTTCGACCACACGCGCGTCTGCATCGACACGACTGCAGAGACAGAGAAAGAGAGAGAGAGAGAGAAAGAGACGGGATGATATTGTAAAATATCAGGCGAAACACTTGAATTCTTACACCGCCCCTTCGGTGCGGATTACAAGGGCCGGAGGTGTGTGCATCTGGACTTTTTAGGGTACTAGCTAGCGCATTATTATTCGGAGGCCGTATGGTGAAAGCGGGTGATGCGTAATGGAGATTTATATTTTGTTACAGGAAGGCACATACATGAAACACACACACACGTTGACATCTCCGCTGCGACCGTCCGAAATTCAACGCCGCGATATAATAACTGCCGCGAATGTAAGAACTTTGCTAAACTTGCGTAAAACGTGGTCAGGGAGCGTCCCGTTCACCGGTCGCTCCGAATTTTGGACGATCGCAGCCCCCGTTCGTATAGACCAATAGAAACAACGATACCTCAAGAAGACTCAATAGTTAATTATCTCTAACTCATTGACTTGTACAGAATCGATATTCTTTTACAGTTGAATAACACACGCACCGTGAAAAAGAAAGCGCATTACGCGAGACAAACAAAAAGAAGAAAAAAAGATCGCATAGCCGCGACAATGATTGTACCCTGCCTCCCCGCTCCCCCCCCCCCATTTCCTCCCCTTTTCCTTCCCGAAAAACCCGGAACCGAAACCGTAAATACGTTGAATTGCGTCTCCGTGCTCGCATTTTGCACTCCGCGAAAGCGTACCGAAAGCCGCCGTTGAGAAAAAGAACATACGTTCGTAATAAACGGAAGACAGGCAGCGTTAATCTTTTTCCAAGCACTGTTCAAGTTGTTCCTATAGCTACGCGAAAATTGTTTCTTTCGGCAATTAAATCCTCTATATCTATATACAAGGGTTTGACGTCATTGCGCTCGCCCGACCTGTTCTCCCGATCCTCCTAATCTTTGCGATTAAATTATGCCAGAAATAGAAGAATTCGACGAAGATATTGGAAGCACTTTAATCCCTATAATCTGACATATTCGTCGTCAAATATCTTCAGTGTTAAAAGTAGAAATCTCGTGACAGTTTACGATACCCACGTAATCTTATTATTTTACGAATCCCCACTGATATCTTTAATTGTTCAAGATGAATATCAGTGCAAAAGAATACTAGAATCTAAAGATATCCCGTCAGCTGAAAAGAATTTTTGCAGATAGAAATCTATGACAGTTTATGATTCCCAATCTTTATTATTTTACACAAATCTCCACTGGTATCTTTAATTGTTCAAGATAAATATCCATGCAAAAGAACACTAGAATTTGAAGATATTCATTAGCTGAAAATAATTTTTGTAAATAGTCGAAAATTTTCATCTTATAGAGATTTTCGAGTTGCAGAGGTTCGAGATTCGACTGTACTGATAAAACGTCTCAAGATTATATGTATATATATGTATAATATATCACTCTTCAATATCTATAATTCGATATATATAATTTGATTTCATTTTTTTACTAAAGTTTTTCTTAGTGGCGCGCGAATTACTAAGTTTAAATATTACAATTTTGTTTTCAAAAATTAATTCTATTTTAGACATTTCCTCTAAATTTATCTAAATTTATCTAAATATATATGTATACATATAATTTTCTTATGGAAAAAATTTAGATAAATTTAAAGGAAATGTCTGAAATATAGAATTAATTTTTGAAAACAAATTTATTGTAATATTTAGATTAAGTAATTTGCGCCAATGAGTGAGAAAAACTTTAGTAAAAAAATGAAATCGAATTATATATATCGAAAGAGCAATATATTATACACAGAGTCCAAGTGACGTCTTTATAAAAAAAAGTCTTCAATCTTATTATTTCACTATCAAGTTCGAGTTATTAGTATTTAAATTGTTTTATCTCGTTTTTTGTATCGACCGTATAAATAAATCTCGCCTCAGCGGCACGCTTCAATGAACGCGGAGAACGATGCGGAACGGCATGCACGTGCATCGCCGTCACGCACGTGTGCAATCTCTGAACGTATCGGGAGGTGCTGCACTCTGCGGGCTGATCGTGGAACTACGTACCGTTGACGCGTGCGACGCTTCAATATGGCCGACTGCCGCCGACAGTGAAGCTACGGCAAGATATGATTATACTTGTGATCCGTGATATTTTCGAAGGATTATTCGCGCGGTGTGAAGACAGAAACTGGCAACGATGAACATGTCCGTGGAGAAGAAGAAGTACCCCTCGGCGTTGCCGATCAATTGGCCCGCGAGGGAGGAACCGGCGAGGAAGAGCCAGAATCAGTTGGCGTCCACGGGGAAGGTTGATTATTATTACAAGTAGGTTGAATTTTGAATTCCCGTGGGACAAAGACCGACGTTTTCGATTTTTATTGCGCGCGGAAACGCGGCGAAAGTGCTCTCGGCGTGGAATCGAAAGATGTCGAGAGTAATTTTCGCAGACGGACACGGCAGCGTTTCGCGAACGCCGCGAACGTTAACCTCGATGACAGTTGTATCATCTGTTTTTTGAACTAAATGAAGCGGCTTTCCTTTCAGCCGCGGCGTCAGGAACGACGCGTCGCTGGTGCCGCCGATCAGGCAGACGGCGTCGATTTTCAAGCAGCCGGTGACGATCTACAAGACGCAGGAGGGGAAGGTGAAGGATGTCAAACACGGCTCGCAGGAGAAGCCGAAGCAGGTTGGTTTACAGGCACAGCTTGCTGGTCTACGCTAATTGGATTCTGTTCAAACAGAGTTTGTTGTGTCAATGAATCGAATCCTTTTACTCTTTCACACCCGTCTATATTCACATATACAATATCTAGTAGCTGCACACTTATCTACAAATATGTTTATGGATTATTCTCTTATATATTATCTTTGTATTTGGAGATCTTTCTAATCCCTGTATTATGCGAGATACACTTTTTATCCGCTTACACACCCATTCACTTGTACTGCTTTTCGTTAGCTATCCTTGTAAATTCACAACTGTCAAATCGTTGCTTTAGGAAGGAGCCGATAAAACTGACGGCAAGTATGGCTCCCAAGATAAGCCTAAGCAGGTAACTCTGAACATGCAATCACGTGAAATTGTCAATAATTTTTTTGTGCTTTCTGTTATGTTTTCAATGGCAAATTTTTTATTAACTGCTAAATTTTAATAATAACAACGAGAGTCAATTTGAACAGGATTATAAAGTAATTTTGGTGGTGGTTGGTGATGGTACTCGATATAGAAACATTTATATACTTGTACGTTAAAAGCAATGATTCAATTTAATACAATTTTCATGTAATGTTTTGTTTGTAACTCCTATCGTTTTCTCAGTAGCAATAGCTGAGTTAAACGATTGAATGAATGATAATCAAAGTATCGATATTGCAGCTTTTCTGGGAAAAACGTTTGGAAGGTCTGCGAGCGTGCGATCCCGACGGTTATGAATTTGACGCGATGGACTTGCCAAAGAACTTGAAGCCAGTAGGACCATATATCACGGAAGAAACGTTGCTCCAGAGCGTGGCCACCGCATTACACGTATCCACCCAGCCAGTCACCGGACAGACGGGCTCGAAGACGGCTTTAGAGAAGAATCCCGGGGTATTTCTCAATCCTGATCAGCCACTTGTACAGGTAGAGTCGATAGCCAAACGTGTCAATTGGCGTTAAGAATGCATCATAAAATAATATTATCAGAACGATTGACACCCCAATGTTTATGAATTTTATTTGTCTAATTAATAACCATTAATAAGATGATTGTGCAATTCTGTTTGAGGCGGTCTCGATAGCGGATGAGGATATAAGGAGGCAAGAAGACCGTGTGGCCATCGCGAGAAAAAAATTACAAGATGCCCTACGTGGTCTTCAAACCTAAGTTATAGAGACTTTATGCATATTATCACTTGCTCATCTTTTAGTTTTAAGTTCGTTATAAATTATATTAATTATCACACCACTTTTTGTAATAAATGTTTTTATAAAAAAAAAGGAGAGAAATGAGGAAAAATGGGAATCTAATGGAAGAATTAAGATAGAAGAATTTATATTTAAAGCATGATATTGACTGACTATTTTGAAATATATTTTAACGAAATCGAGACGGAATAAATTCGATAGTGCAAAAGAATCGTATAGTTGGATGCTCTTCTAAAAAATTTCGATAAATTAGAAATTTCCATTATAATTCGATTCGAATAATTTGGTTTGTAGTGTTTCGAGCTTCTAGAATTGCCATCTGTTTAATATTTCCTGTGACATGAAGGTAATCGATCGAGTTAATAGTGTGCTCGGGGAAATAACGAATTTTTCAGATTTTGCTTTGGCAGATGGCAGAAGTGCCGCGTTTGGCTCGGAAATTGACTAAATTATCAGATTACTGGAAATTAGTATTCAAAAAAACACTATTTATCGCTGTTTTTCAAACTAATGAATAGAAATCTTTTCGGGCAACGCGGCGTGTTTAATCTATAACCGATATCACACACATCCAATGCAATGAATTGAGAATCGGGTTAGTAAAACGTCCACATTATTTATGCAAATTGCCGCGCTTATTTTGGCCTGCGAAAGGCGGGAATTGAACGATCTTGAAATATCTCGTCGAATTCGAGTATGGCACGTCGCCTTCGCAGGAAATAGCCCGCATAGTTGAATAAAACCTCTCGCCAAGCCATCGGCGCAGGTATAGGGGAGAAAGACAGATTTAAAAAGAACTTTAAAATGGTTTTAAAGTATCCTGTGATCTTTCGGAAATTTAAGCTTCATTAGATTTGGCGTATCTGTTAAAACTTAAGATACTTTTATTATAATAGAATCTTTGTAATCTGGAATTTGGACTTTCTCTTTTGACTCTGTTATTCTAGGTAGAGAAAATGTGGTTTCATTCTTTATTTTTAATGGCTTTGTTATTCTAGAGAAACCCGTGGTAGAAGAGCAGTGAAAAAAGGAAAGAATTAATCGTTTCAGGATATTCTTATGGTTAGTATAATATTCTTGACATTTCTGTACATTGCGGGCGTACAGGCTGGTACGGGGCGAAGACCCTACCCCATGGTGCAAAAAAACAGCAAGAAAGAATCCTTTCAGGGCTTCGAAGACGGAAAGCATCAATGGTTAAGCCGATGAGTTATTTTCTCTCAGAAGGAATTGTCATTTGGGATGATCCTCGAAACATTTCCGAAGATTTTGTTCCATACGAATACCATACTCTCTAATCGTGTCGCATTAAGTACCGTGCGCCGCGTGTTACTTAGTAGTGTTCGGGGCGTGCATTGTGCCGAGTGCAGTTGTGTATCGAATGCTGCCCAAGGCCCTCTGGGAATCGGTACGTGCCCAGGGCCCCGCACAAAAGAATGCTCGGGCAGGTATACATATACAGGCAAGCGTCGGTTTTCAGGTAAGCATAAGCGGGGTACCAGGTGGTAACCTCTTTTTTTTTCTCTCCATGTTGGCTGCTCCTCTCCCCCCCCCCTGGCCGCTTCCGTCCCTCTGCCTGCCTGCCCGGCACCTCTCCACCTTCGACCAACAGCTGTTTCCCTCCGCGGCAAGGGTCGCTCTCTCCCTTATTGTCAACCAGACGAACAGCCGTTCTCGCCCCACCGTCATCGTGTGTATGTGCATGCACGCCGGCACATGTCCCAGTTTAAATCGTTATAACTCGTCGAACACATGACTCGACCGACGACGATCCATCCGGTCTAATCGGTACGGCGGCGCGGCGCGGTGTCGTGAGTGTATACCCGTGAGTCGACGATCGTCGCCCGGGCGTGCATTCGTCGACAACGGGAAATTCAATGTCGGGCCGAATGTCGCCTGCACATCCCGAGCCGCCTGCATCCCGAGTCTGCATCCCGTGCGATCAATAGCACTATCGCGTGTTCTTTGCAATAATTTATGCGCACGGAGGCGACATCCGGCCCGCGAGAAAACGCCAAGGGTGGGAGAGAGGAGGCAACAATGGGTGCGGTGTATTCCACGCCAAAGGGGATGCTTAAAAAGTCGAAATCATAATTTTTTTTTTCAGTAATCGCGGGATAAGTATCAGGCAATTTAGATAATTATAGGCGATTGACACACGGTATTTACATTTATTACACCGCGGGTCACTCTCGTCTCTCTGGGAAAAATCTCGCAATTCTATATATAAATATACTGCGGATTTCTCTAGGACGTCGTTTGGGATATATGCAATTTAATTGCATACATGTATATGTACGCATAATGAATCGCGCATGTGAACATAAATGCGAATATCGTATGACGAATGAGGAATTGAAATCCGCCACGGGACACATCCCGAAATAATCTCATCTATACCGGCCCACGGCCCCTTCCCTTTCCCCCGCGTACGCGTGCATAATTCACGCAAATTTTTGCATTACGATTGAGCCGTCGTGCTTTAATGTCAAAACACGACGTCGATAGCCGATATTACGCTCAGTTATGCGGCATTTAATTCCGCGCACGATTATCTCTCTCCCCCCCCTCTCTCTCTTTCTCTCTCTCTCGGGGGCACTCGATAAGTTTTTTAACGCGCGCTTAATGCAACCGCCGATCTATGCGGTCGGCGTCGCATCGCGTGTAAAGACCTTATCTGGAGCACCATCGAAGATTACATCCTCCGCTGTCTTGAACGTAATATAGCCGACGTATAAATAGATGCCTCTCCAGGCGCGTTATCGATCTTTCGCGCAGGCAGTATATTCGACCATCGGAAGTTGACCGACTTGACTATACTATTTGTATCGGGGTTACTGGCCGCAAAGTATTTCGGATTTATCTCTCCGACGACGAGTAGAGACAATTTTAAGAGTTTCGATTGACAACCGCGCGGCGAAAGTCGGCGGCGCGGGTATAGGAAAACGACGACGAGAGGAACGACGGCCGGCGAGGTTCGCGCCGACGACGGCCTCGGAAAGGAGGAGGCGTTGGTCCATCCAGCGCGTTTCGCACGGAAGAACAGCTGGGGGACCTTCGACTCCACCAACAACGACTATACGCTATATACGTAATCGACTTCGACAGACTTTCTCTCTCGTGGCGATCCGCGAGAGGAGAGGAGAGCCGGGCGTGTGCCTATAACCGATCGTGCTCTTTCCATTTTCACCAGGTCTCTCTCTCTCTCTCTCTCGATGTCGGAGGCAGACACACACGCCTCTGTACATGCATCTCGCGTTTCCGTTTTTAACACATTCAGCACAAAGAGCATAATAATTACGTAAACTATATATAAAAGAGATCTGCCATTGTACAGGAGAGGGAAAAAGAAAAATATATTTTTACCTCCTCCCCAGATCTAAACTTTCGTCGATCGTTTGCGCGCGCCGATCGAGTCTTTCTCGTGGTGATTCGCGCGATATAACGATGCAAATTATGCGCGTCCCTTTGAAACGGGTGTCCCAGTGACGTACGCGCGTTTGCGAATTATATAATATTTTCTTTACGTACCGTGCTTGCGCGGGACAACTTCCATGCGAAAAAAAAATAACCGTTTCCATTTACGACCATCAAGGGAGCGATCAATTTCCAATGTCTTTTGATAATCGTCGACTGAAATTTTCGAGCTTTTTCATTCGTTCGAGAATTCGTGATGAGAAGACACATGTGGGCATGACCGATAGATTTCTCTCAGCCTGACTACGGTTTCCGACGTTTCCGTTCGCTTCATTGTTCGTTTTCACAAAAAAAAAAGAAGCCGCTCAGTACAAAATGTATCGAACCGACTAAAAAACCGGTCCTCCCTTCGGCCCTTCTCCGCCGTTGCGTTTCCCTTTTGTACGATTGTGTGCCAGTCATTTTGCAGAGTCGCAAGAATGATTTTTCGATAACTACGACAGTAACAACGGCTCGCGATAAGATAATATAAATTAATTCAGATTGGTTTTCTCATTGGTTTTCCCTGTGTGCGATAAAGTTGAGAGAGTGCGATACACGGAGAGAATTTCCTTTTAAATTAACCCTGAAAATTATATATTAATCGTGGGACAACATAGTATTTCGACAAATTTTATATGATTTTCTCTGTTTTTCTTTACTGCGCACTACAATAAATTTGTTATAATATATATTATAAAAAAATAGTGAAAACCATATAAAATTCATCGAAATACTATGTTGTCCCACGATTAACATGATTTTCAGGGTAAATTTTAAAATAAAATTCTCTCCGTGTACACTGAAAGAAAAATATTTTGTATTTGTAACGTATAATTGCATGGTAAAAAATTATGATTAGGAGCACTATTTTTATAGTTATTACTATAATGTTAGTAATAATAACTATAAGTTATATGCATTGTTCTACCAAATATGAAAAAATTTTACTATAATTATAATAATTTTAAATATTAATATAGCAAAATATCAAGATATATATGAGACAAGTGAAATAAATATTTTTATGTAGTAAATGCAACTGCAGTTATAGTAAGTATAACAATTTTTTCTTAACATTTGCTTACTTTTTATATTGTAATAAGCATATTGTTAAAGCAGCTATATTTTACATAGTTAAATTAATTATAATTTTATAGTTGTCTCCAAAATTCACTATGAATAGTTAAATTATAGTTATTCCAACTATATTTTTCTCTCGGTGTAGAATAGAGCATAGTAACAAAGATGAACCAGAAAAAAAAACAGGTGTACGGTGAACAAGAAGTATTTATTATAGACGTCTAATCGGATACTTTTAAATACACTGCCCACATAATTATGCAATATTTTAGTATTTATGACAGCGAGAGAGAGAGAGAGTCTCTCTGCTATAATAGAATGACAAATTCAAACTTTATCTTATAGCTACTCAAAAAATGTATTCTACCAGCCTTCGCAGGAAAGGACGCGGTACCTGTGAAAGCTGAGTTCCAAGAAAGAGAAATTCTTTTCCGGCTTCCAGGGCAAAGTTTACAAAGGACTTGTACCGTCGTTCGACAATACGGCCACGCGGGGGGTTCCGGGCAAAGTTGTGTTCTCTCATAAAATCGACAGAGGACAGTGAGGAATTTTCCGTTTGCGAACGTATCCGACCTTCTCGCGCGTCGCATCTGGACGCAAGTAAATCTTGCAACAGAGCTCTAAAATACTTCCGCTGTATCCCCGGCATGCATCCTTTAACGGACATTG